TTTAGAAAATTAAAACAATTAATCCCTTTGTTAAATTTGAATAAGGCATTTAGAAGACAAATTTCGAGAGATGATATCGTCATTTCATAGTTTCTTTACAACCGCTTTACAACTAACGTGGTTAACAATAATAATACAATAGAATGCATGACAATTACTCAGTTATATATGATAGAGAAGATTTGTAGCTCAGGTGGATAATTTTGATGTGGTTTTGTTCTCTGAGCTGGATAGTTAGTTTGCGAAGCTTTCATCACCTTACTGGGTGACATCTTCAGCGCATACTTCAAATTGAAGTGGAGAAACCTAAAAGCTCACTTCAATTTGAAGTATGCGCTGAAGATGTCACCCAGTAAGGTGATGAAAGCTTCGCAAACTAACTATCCAGCTCAGAGAACAAAACCACATCAAAACTCAGTTATATAAAACAAAAGTACATACTGATGACCAATCATATTTAAATAAGTCAGGTAGTCCATGGTAGGCGAAGGTTGAAGTCTGTTGTTGTTTTTTTTGTACACACAGTTTAGGCTGTATGTGATTAATCCAGATAAGTGCTTCCATCACCTTTAATCACCAACCATGAATTAGAGTTATGTGAAATAATTGTGAAACAGTCATTAATATTTAATTTTATGACCTGACATTAATAAGTGTTTTGCAATGGATGATGATGAACTTCTATTCAGATTAATTGCATTGGGATTTTCTATATGTTTTAATAACCACTTTAGAAGATGTTCTTTTCGATGACATCGAAACATTCTATTGGTTCTACCTAAATAGGTGTCACCGCAACTGCAGGTGAACTTTTAGATACAGTTTGAAGTGCATTTCATAGAATTTAATCCTTTAATAGTAGGTACCGGGGTCGAAAATGTTCAGCATGTGAGGGAAAGAGATGCGGCATAGAATGTGCGTTTAATGGTTGACCGAAGTCTTTTAACCTTCAACTGCATTATCTGGTCACCCTTGAATGGTAGGTAGGTTAATAAAGATAGCTTTCTTTGTTACAGAAGCTGTCTTTTCTAGATGTGGTCTATCTTTACTGTGACAATCGATAAAGTTTTCTGGATAAGCATTAACTAATAAAACTGAATGTATATGTCGAAACTCACCCATCAATGTGTCACTCGTGCATATTTTTCGGGCCCTTGAGAACAAACATTTCACTAGGGAACGTTTGTACTGGATGGGAACAAAACTGGTAAAATGAAGATAATGTCCACTCCATGTCTGTTTACGAAAAATTGATCGCCTAATCGTTCCATCGTCTCTCCTGGTTATTGTAACATCCAGGAAACCGATTTTGTTATTCGATTTGAGTTAGGAAGTCACTCGGATATTTGGATGCATATTGTTAAATAGAGTAATAAAGTTTTCAATAGACTTACTACTATTACCAATAATGAGTGTATCATCCACATTACGTTTATATAGCATAAATTCTCCAAGCATACCTTGCTATTGTCTCTCTGATTTCTACATGAATATATCTGCTAACAGGGGCCCAAGAGGGCTCCCCATCGCAACACCATCGATTTGTTTGCATGCCTTTTCTTGGAAAGTGAATCTAATATTTTCTGTACACATTAAGATGATGTCTCTGATGAAAGTGACAAGAATAGGTAAGTTTATCCCACTGCTTGTGATGTAATCACAAATGAAATCAACAGTTTCATGAAGGGGAACATGGTGAATAAAGATTCTATGTCGACTGAGCACGCAATCTTTTCTTTAATGTTCATGGTGTCTAGCATATCGGTCAGATCAAATGAACTTTTTACAGAACGGTTTGATTATGACTCTCTTACAGGAGTAAGGACCTGTGTAATCAATTTTGCGATTTTATGAGATGGAGAATTTAAGATGTCTAAGATAGGTCTCAGTGGGTTACCAGTTTTGTGGATTTTCGGAAGGCCTTATAGCCGATTAGTATGTGATCCAATAGCTTTAAGTTGTTTATAAAGTTTTTTATTTATAAAACCATGCATCAATAAAATCTAAAGCTGATGACTGACATACTGTTCTATAAGCAGCACATTATCAGTAGTATTATCCACCAGAAATTTGAAATGGTCTTTGCCGATTTCATTCATTTCACAATTATTTCACATAACTCTAATTCATGGTTGGTGATTAAAGGTGATGGAAGCACTTTGGACTAATCACATACAGTCTAAACTGTGTGTACAAAAAAAACAACAACAGACTTCAACCTTCGCCTACCATGGACTACATGACCTATTTATATATGATTGGTCATCAGTATGTACTTTTGTTTTATATAACTGAGTAATTGTCATGCATTCTATTGTATTATTATTGTTAACCACGTTAGTTGTAAAGCGGTTGTAAAGAAACTACGAAATGACGATATCATCTCTCGAAATTTGTCTTCTAAATGCCTTATTCAAATATTTAGAAGAAAGTGGAGATGGGCCGGACAAACATAGAGCAGATCATCGAATTACGTCTCGCCCTTGGCATAACCTCGAGAGGAATGCGAATGGGAAACAGTGAGTGAGGTATCTGAGGGTGAGAGATCAGGGGTTATAGGCCATCTTGAGGCAGCTAAAGAGGACTGTGGAAAATAGGGGAGAGGGGAAATATGCTGGTGAGGCCCCATTTTCCACTCGGAACCCAAGGGAACAATAAAAATAGCAGTATGGTACGAATGCTGCATACCAATGCAAAAATGTTTTAGGAGTTCTGACTTTTTTCATTCCGTGCGTTCCCAGTGGAATACATGGTTTCACTCTCTGAAGTGTCGATGACTGTACTGTTGCTTTTACGAAATGCAGTCCAAATCTTCCCTCTTTTTTGGGCTTACTCTAGGATAGACGAGGTTTAAGAGTGCGTCTGCTAGGAGTCAAATACGAATCTCCTGTTTGCCTGGTGTTTATCTTGTCATTTAGCCCTCAATTCATAAGAGTTCTGATACTTCTTATAAATTATCAGAATCATTATATTTTCCTCTTTCATACTGGATACTTATTTTGTTTTATTAATTACACAAAGGTCAATAGGAGAACTCCATAACTAATCAGCCATTTTGAAAACTACAACTTAGCACATTGTAACTGCTTGTCAACCTGTTTATTACTTATCTCATACAGTGAAACAGTAGTATTGTTTCCTGGATGACAATGTGTCGAACACAGTCTAGTATTGTTCATGATCGTATCAATTATTACTACACAACTTCAAAACCCTATGTCAGAAAAACTGGATTGGTGAAATGTCTAGGTGACAGAGCACAAAACCTAAACAGTACCAAGGGAAAATCTAAGACAGGAAGTGATACACGTAAAAGAAGCCTTGAAACTTAATAATTACCCAGATAAATTAGTCAAAAAATATGTAAGGAAATGTAAAAATAAAATAAATAATGATAGTAGAGATAGTAATAATAATAATAATGATAGAAATAATAATCATAATAATAATATTAATGACGACACCAACAATAAGGAATCTAAATCATCAGTAGTAATTCCGTACAAGGAAGGAGCCTCGGAAACGACTTTACGCAGAATTCTTAACAAGGCAGGAATTATAGTGGCTGGCATTCAAACCCGCAAACTCAATTAGGAACAAACTTTTTTCGGTTAAAGGATCCTGTGGAGCCAATTAAACAAAACAATTTAGATTATCTAATACCCTACTGGAATAATTGTCAGGTCAAATGCATAGGTCAAAGTAGTAGAACGGTGCAGTCAGATTAGCGAATCAGGAAAATCTAGCAGCAAAATCTAAATTAGTTGACCCGAATAAGATGAGAAATCTGGAAAATAGTCCAGCTATATCATTACATGCAATTACACACAGCTATATAATAGGATGGGATAAGATGACTGTTTGAAGATCTGACATAACAGGGTGGGGGAAGAGATTGATAACGGAAACTTTACTTATCGAATCAAGTTAAAACACATGTAATAGGAATGATTCAACACCTGTCCACTCTAACATCTGGAAAATTCTACCACCCCTACGGAAAATAGGATAGAATAAAGAAAACTGTAAAGGGAAGTTTCGAAGTCGTGTGATTATAGTTAATATGATTATGAACAATACATCGTACTCGAAACACTGTCGTCCAGTAACACAGTAATACTGTTTCTTCACTGTCTAATATACCCGGTAAACAAATTCATATGGAATTACATACTAGCCAGAATTGGAAAAGCAAGACAAGCTTTCATTACTCTCAAATCTGTGTGGAGGTCAACAGCAATCAGCATCAAAAATAAGATCCGGATTTTCAACTCCAATGTGAAGTCAGTGCTACTATACGGATCAGAGACTTGGCGAGTCATAAAGAGCATCTCAAACAAACTTCAAACCTTCATTAACAACTGTCTCCGCTCAATATGCTCAAGATCAGATGGCCAGAAAAGATCAGCAACAGGATCTCTGGGAGCGAACCAATCAGGAACGATTGTGAAACAAATAGGCAGAAAGAAATGGAGATGGATTGGCCATACGCTGAGGAAACCATCAAGTGACATCACTAGACAAGCCATCGCTCGAGTGAAACCCGAAAGGGAGGCGGCGAGTTGGTCGTCCAAGGGTGACTTGGAGGAGGTCATGTGAAGAGGAGATGAAAGATGTGGGCAGACCTGGAGCGGGGTGAAAAAGTTGTCAGAAAACCGAAGTCAATGGAGGTGCGCAGCTGAAGCCCTATGTTCCTCTAGGAACTAAAGGATACAATAATAAAATAATAATACAGTGCCCAAGTCTTACACACACACACACACACATGTTAATGAGCACGTTGTAATTCAGCTGGATAGCTAAACTACTGCAGCAGACTACTATTACTTTAAAAGCACCGAGTGCTGGCTTTAAGTTACAATGCATAACTATACAAATTATTGATACACCAGTCTGAGGAGTTGTTAGGGTGAAGAAACAAGCTCTTTTTTTACTTCACATGAAGCTGCTTGCTATCAGTACAATGAAGTCTGTTTACTGTCAGAAGGATAGAAAATAACCCCGGAGTATATCAATCTTTTATTTCTAGAGTGAAAACTGTAATGAACCAAAATGTTTTTATAAAGAACATATTTAAGGAAAACGTTTTATGATTTTTATTATTATTATTATCATTGCTATTTCCTCTCTAAAGTGTTAAATGTTAAAAATAAGGATACAATAAAATATTTCTGTTTTATTTTTCTTGTTATCGTAATTATTTATACGTGTTTGTTTTTTGTTTTTATTCGAAATCACAAAACACCCTTGTCATCTTTTCATTCTAGTTTGGATTACAAAACTGCTCTAGGTATTTTCGTGTACAACCGATGCAACAGCATTGGGTAACAACTTGATCTGGTTCGTAGATTGCGTATAGAGTGCAAAGATCATCGAAACGTTTATTCCGATGTAGTAATCTTTCTATCTCTAAAAACAGAACGGAAAAAAAAATGCGCAACGAAATCGAATTTTAAGGAATTAAAAAGTGAAAAATATTGATATTAGTAGTTTTCAGAAATTGGGAACATTTATTTCCTGATAAGAATTTAAAACAAGCAACAAAAATAATTGAATCCTTACAAATCAGCTCTTAAAAATTAATCTGATGCACCATATTGACTTCCTGTGGGACGGAGTTTCATCGAGAAGTTCTAGTGAGAAGTTATGACCAATGAGGTCCATCCAGTTAAGTGTAAGGATGGATTTCACGCCTATGACATTGGTTGGTGGTCGCGCTAAATGCATCACGAATCGGCAGAAGTTAGAATTCACGGACTGGTTATTGAGTCGGGGGGTCCCAGTGGTTGAATGGTATACGAGCTTGCCTTGTAATTGGAAGGTCCTGGGTTCAAAACATGGCGGTGGGTGTGTACAACCGATGATTCCCATACTAAGATGAAACAGATGTCCAGTATTCGCTGGTTATCAATGGTTCTCAAAAAAAAACACATAGATAAAGTAATCAGAACACCAAGATCCACTCTCCAACTCACCGTTAAGAAGGGCGTGTAAATCAAGCTTCCCTGTATGGGGAATCATAGCAGCTTGATAAGTAGACAAAGATTGAATGCTGCTATTAAAAAGACTTTTTATGCAGCTGATATCATAATAATTAGGAATGTGAAGCCAATATATCCATCTAAGCTATTTGAACATGCGAAAAAATGATGTCACATCCCAATGTATTTACCAATTCGAATGTACGTGTGGACACACACATGTATATAGGGAGGACTCATCGATCTCTGCAAGTAAGGGCTTCAAAGCGTATTCCTAAATGGCTCCAGAAGTAAACAGAATCCTCAGAACCCATTTATGGTGAGAACAGGAGACTTAGAGATCTCTATTGCGAAGCATATTACAGAGACAGAATATAAAATTAATGTTTACACATCTCTTAAACCTCTCTATAAAACGCTTTTGTGGAAGTCTTAGCAATTAGAAAGTTTAAACCACCTTTATGCGTTCAAAAACAATTCGTCATCACACTAAACCTTCATTGGTGAACTTTGTTTTGATACCATAACAGATGTACTATTACCTCTGTTATTTGGCGTAGTGATCTTCATTGTTATTTTGACCTTCAATATGTCCTTTAAACTTGACCGAAGTCTATTTTCTCACCTCTTAACTCTTTATTAATTTCACATATATTCCTATGACACGTCTAATGTGTGATCAGACTGTTCAAAATGTGTTTTGCAAATGCTCATTACACAATTCAGATAAATTGTCTATCTGTAGTTTGGTTTGTGAGGATTAGTTATGTTTTACGAGTGATCACGGATTGATATCAGTTAGAGAACCATTGAAAACCATCAGGGGGTACTGGACAGCTGCTGTTTCATCCTAGTTTGGGAATCATCGGCAGTACGCACGAATTGGTAGAACTTAGAATTCGCGAGCTATTGAATCAGGTCCCAGTAGCTGAATGGTATACGAGCCAGCTTGACTTGTAACGGAAGGTCCTGGGTTCGAATCCCAGTGGGTGCGTTCTGCCGATGATTCCCAAACTAGGATGAAACAGCAGCTGCCCAGTACTTCTGGCTGGTTCTCAATGGTTCTCTAACTGATGTCAATCCGTGATCAACTCGTAAAACATCAGATAAATTATGCCTTCTTATTACTTTGTTTAAAAAGTACATACATTATAGAAGTTTTGTTCCACTAGAATGTAAAGATAACTTAGTCAGAAAACTACTCAAAAGAATACGAAAAATTTGTTCTAACAGTACCACTGAACATGAAATAAAGACTCTGAAGGATGGATATCTTGGAAGATTCGTCAAAAAATACGCTAAAGAGATGAGCACCAGTGAAAATATAGAAACAGTTTCAAAGAAAGCTTTTTCTTTTTCAAGTATTGATTTGTAGGGATTTGACTGATTGTTTACAGGATTTCATCATGAGCTAATATTGGTTAGAGAATTATTGAAAAATCTGGGAGCACTGGAGTACTGGAAGTCCTAGTTTGGGGCTCTTCATCAGCACGCACCCACCACCAGGTGCGTGGTGGGTGGTTACAAGTCCAGTTGGTAGACCATCAAGCCAATGGGAGCCGATTCAATGGCCCATGAATTCCTATAAGTATAAAACTTGGCACTGTGGTAAAGTATAACTCTGTTATAGAATAGATTTTATTTGATAAATCACACAGTGTTATGCAGTAGTATTAACTGGTGACGTTTGGAGCACAAATTATTGCTCATAATCAGATCACATCACTCACACAACTTTTTACTTCATTTATATACGTGAGCGAAATTGATTAGCCCATAGATTCCAACTTCTGCCAGTTCATGGCATAGTGCTACCGCTAGCCAATGTCTCCGGCGAGTACTTGTCTTCACACTCGACCTGCTGCGCCCTAGTTGTAATACTGTGTAGCGTCTCAAAATAGGACGAAACACCTGTCCAGTACTCCCAGGTTTTCCAGTGGTTCTCTAACCAATGTCAGCTTATATATCAACTTGCCATTTAAAGAAGATGCTGTACAAGAATTAATCAAACGAACACTCGATAAATCTATCAAGATAACTTATTATACTGCAAAACTTGTCTTCTTTAACACCACTAAGCGGATGGTTTAACATTCTTGGAAAGACCCGTCGCTAATCCCAACACTTCAAAGTGAGTATATCAATTTGAGTGTGTTTGTTGAAGCAAATACATAGGTCATACAGCAAGACAATTTTCAACTCGCATGATACATCGTTTACTAAAGTGATTGCAAACAGCTGAAATCAAAGCGCTAAAAAGCCCAATAACAAAGCATCTTGTAGACTGAGGACACGGAATTGACTCTGTCGATTCATTCACTACTGTAAGAGGACAAAAAAAGAGGAGGATTCTTTTTTTTTTGATTATAGCTTGAAACCACAGAGTATTCCTGGTACAAGTATGGAATTTTCAGCATGTGATATCGGTAGCCCAAATTTTGCAGGTCGACCATTGATTATCAGGTGTGCGTTGGCAGGGGATCGAAACCCATACCATGTACATGGTCGGTGAGAGTCATAACCGATGTGCCATCGACGCACAACAGAAGATGATTGCAGTTGCTCAGCCTTATGCAATTAGAGTTTATAAAGCAGGTTCATGCGTACGAAAGGCATTATGGTGGTCACTATGAATTTAACGTAGAGTAAAATGTTTAACTTATTTACTCTTATTATTATCATATTATTAATAGTTTATTCTACCTCTAATAATTACTATTTCTGATTAATTTAAAACTCTTTTATCATTACTTTAATTCTTTTTAACATTTTCGATTGTTATTATCGTTATTATTATTGGCATTACTATTATTATCAATATTACTTAGTTCGCGATTCTCGATGTATTCAAGTGCTTCCACTGACCTATAACTAATTTCCAAGAGTTGGTTTGTAAAGATTAGGTTTTCGTTTACGAGTTTGACCACGGATCGATATTAGTTAGAGATTCTTTGAAAATCAAGGAGTACTAGACAGTTGTTTCAGCAGCCCACTTTGGGAATCATCAGCAGTACGCACCAACAGACATGGTTCGAACCCAGGACCTTCCGGTTGCAAAGCAGGACCCACTAAGGGAATTCTAAGTTCTCCTACCTGTTATTTAGCGTACCCAACAACCAATATCGTCGCCTGGAAGTCTATCCTCACACTTGACTAGATAGACCTCACTGGTGACGACTTTTCACTGGAGTTTGTGGAAACTCCCGAGGCCCTGTGTTCGAACCCCGGTTGGCCAGTACTGCCGATGATTCCCAAATTGGGATGAAACAGTTGTTTAGTACTACCTGGTTTTCAATGGTTCTCTAACTGATGTCAATCCGTGATGAAATTCGTAAAACTATAACTTCTTGTTTATTTAAGTGATGTAATTGAACTATAATACATTTTGTTTAAATTTTATATCCCTGTACGTACAGCATCCAGCAGAAGAGTTCTGCTGAAATTCGATGCATTCATTTAATCCTGGTTTATTAACTAACTAAATCGGGAAGTCACATCTCTCAAACTACTTTAGGTTTTGTACGTGGACACATTCCATTGGACTTTTGGTAATGTGGTGTGTGCCACATGTGTGCAGATTGATAGGAAGTGGCGAAAAATTCAAATCAACATTTTAAGTAAGTGGCTGGAGAGGGAGGTGTTTATATCGCAAATCTAGATTAAGTTTACGTTCAAGTCATGAAGTATTTCCACTGGACTGTTTTTCGTCAGATCGTTTAACCTTGGCCTAGTCAACAGCTAATCGGAACAGCTTATTCTCCACTGACCTGGTTAAAAATGTATAAAAAATATGTGGTTTTCCTTAACGAATGCAGTCCCTTCCCAGTTCTCCTACCTTCTACCGTTACACTTCTACTATCAGAGGATCTTTTAACTCGGTGAAATTATGTATAATGATGTCAAAATATAAGAAAATTTACATTGGAGGTTTCATTTTATGATAGCCACTTGCATTCTGATTCTTTTATCTTTATTTTATGAATCCTGTATGTTTTTCCCAGTAGTCTTCATTTCTTCTCTTCCTTAATTAATCCGTCGCACCTCTACTCAAGATCATTGCAGAAAAATTGCAAAAAGTCCTTGCCAGTAACACATGCCACAACACTACAACGACAGTTACCACTACTGTGGCGTGTGCTACTGATAAAATGTATCAGTAATATATATAAAGAGACATTCATCGGCACAAAACACATCAAACAGCAGGGACACAGATTTGATGTCAGAGAAGGCAAATGATACAGCGTTGTGGAGACAGACACATGGGAAACATGAAAGGAACACAAAGAAAAACAATATGAAGGAAGGCGAGGAGTAGCACAACACGGAAGATCTGTACAAATGGTGTTTTGAAGATAGGGTGTGACCGGAATAGGCTGGGTTCAGGAGAAACAAGTCGTGTATTGATCAAATCGCCACTCTACGGAT